TTAATCGACATAGAATAGTATTTACTTTATGGAGCCTTCGACAAAGTGTTGTAAACGAAATGAAGTGTGGAGAAAAAAATCAATTCAAACCATCAAACAATTTTCAACATTGCATGGTGTTCTATATTTAATTTTCTAAGTTATATGGATAAGAATTAATTTCCAAAATACAACCACACAAAATATCCAGTCGGTAGAACAGACGTTGCATCTTTGGTGGGCCATTGGCATGGAAATATGCGATTTGTATAGATATATGATCCAGCTTATCAATTTGAAACCTATGCAAAATTTTATGTCAATTGGGTAGACATGGGTAGGCATATCGAACAATATTATGTAAGGGATCTACATGTAAATCTGAAACGATTTGACGCAAACTTCACATACACAATTGGGTATGCTGCAGCACATAGCGCTGTCCACAATTTTTTCTCAATCGGACAAACAGTGATCATTTGGTGAACAATTTACAGGAAATCGAACGAAAATATATAGGGGTTAAAAACACATATATTTAAACAATTCATGTCATTGTAGCCTCAATTTGGTACGTTGTGTACAATTTCATCGATGTTTGGTGTACCATTTATATCAAATTGGACGAAATATGTATATATATATATATATATATATATGGGAGATATATCTCAATCTGAACCGATTTTCACCAATTTCAGTATGGTTCTTCCTTGGGCGAAATAAAAAAAAAGCTGCGACAAATTTCATCCAATTTGTTTACAATTGCACAGGGACAGGTAGTCGGACGGACATGAATATATCGACTCAGAAAGTGATTCTATGCATATTCTAAAAGGGAACCATGGGTCTATCTCGTTTTCTTTTGCCTGTTACAAACATATACACAATCACATAATACCCAGTAACACAGTGTGGCGAAGGATATAAAAACGTAGCTGTGAATTGAAATTTGAAATGAAAATTATGGACATTTTTTTGCATTATGATTTGTGATTTATTTACAAAAAAAACTTTCATACCACGCTGACGTTTGACTTAACTAAATTTCTAAATATTTCCAAACATTTCATTTGTCTTCTTAGATTTACAATGTCTACGAGTTAGACAAGGAATTGCTTTTTATCATGATTTAACCTAATATGTATAACAATAAATGACAATATCAGCCTAATTTCCATTCCCCTTGGAGTAAATTTACCACAAAGACATGTGTGTGCCAGAAATTAATTACAAAGGCTGTCACATTTTACTGGCTCATTAAATTTGATGGCATGTGAACTCCTGGGGATATAACCGAATTGGGGGGACAATATCACATATTTAATACGTTTATTTCTATTTGCCACCATGTAAGATAATCGTTCATGCAAATATAAGGTAGGGTACGCAATGTGATTTGGCATTTCATTTGTAACTTTGGCGTTTTTTATTCCATCATTAGAAAACCAACCTAACAACCTGTTCCTAAGCATTGTATCTATAATTTTTGTATCGATAGGGAATTATACAAAAATTAGTCCCTAAATTTGTATACACAAAACAAAAACCGCTATACTTGGGGTCTATTTTCAATTTTTGTTTGCTTTTAAATTTGGGGAGTTATTTCATTATAAAACCAGTAAGGAAAGCAATAAAGTCGGACTGAGCCGACTATATGATACCCTTCACCACTTTGGGTATATTCTACATATGTATCATAACAGACCTCGCCTTTTCGAAGGAACATTGAAATAAAATAAAAAAAAAACTTAAAAATTTGATCTTTATTTATTTGTTACACATGCCATTCTGCAACACGAATAACACGAATAGGTCGAAATTATGTATGGAAACTATGCTATCTAAATCTGAACAGATTTCAGGGAGACTTGCCCGCGATTAATTTATATTTATTTCAGTACGTTGTCCAATCGGCCTAGCTATGGGTCCTTAGGTCACCATGTACTTAAAATCGGAGGAAAATATATATAAATTTGAATCGATTTCAAGAAACCTTGACACACGTAAGGTTATACTAACCTAAGTACTTTGTACACAATTGTGTGCCAATCAGCCGAACATTGGCGCTTTAGTGAGCAATTTACATAAAATCGGAAGAAAATATATGTGGGAGCTATATCTAAATCTGAACCGATTTTCACGAAGCATAGCACACATCATTCTAGACATAATTCAGTACGCTACGCCAAAATTCGTACAAATCGAATGATTTTCTGATACTTTGGAGTACTATTTACATTAAATCGGACGAAAATATATACGGGAGCTATATCTAAATTTGAACCGATTTTTTCCAATTTCAATAGGGTTCGTCCTTGGGCCAAATATGTGAAACTATATATGGGAGCTATATCTAAATCAGAACCGATTTCAACCAGCAATCTATACCTACTTCAATACTCTGTGCAAAATTTTGTCTCAATCGGGCAAATATTGGGAGTTTGGTGCAACATTTACTTAAAATCGGACGAAACTATATATGGGAGCTATATCTAAATCTGAACCGATTTCAACAAAACTTAGCACACATCAATCTAGACCTAATTCAATACCCTCTGCGAAATTTTGTCTCAATCGGACCAATATTGAGAGTTTGGTGCACTATTTACCTAAAATCGAGGAAACTATATACGGGAGCTATATCTAAATCTGAACCGATTTTCTCCAATTTCAATAGGGTTCGTCCTTGGGCCAAAAAAGTGACATGTAACAAATTTCATCCAAATCGAATCACAAATGCGACCTGTACTTTGTTCACAAAAATACATGGCCGGACGGACGGACAAACGGACATGCATAAATCGACTTTAAAAGAGATTCTATGTATGTTCTCAAGGTGAAGGGTATAAATATTCAAGGGCTCTAATGCACCAATTCTTTTTAGTTGGAGTCCCTCGATCACGAAAATACCTTTGGTTTTTTAAACCATTCACCACACTGTGGTACAGGGTATTATGTCTTTGTGCAAATGTTTGTAACGGACAAAAGAAACCGAGATAGACACATGGTTCCTCAGAATATGCGTAGAATCACTTTTTAAGTCGAGTTCTGTATGTCCGTCCATCTGTCTGTCCATGTTAAATTGTAAACAAAGTACAGGTCGCATTTTTGATTCGAATTGGATGAAATTCGGCACAGCTCATTTATTTCGCCGAAGTACGAACCCTATTGAAGTTGTGAACCAGTAAGGAAAGTAGTAAAGTCGGACGGGGCCGACTTTATGATACCCTTCACCACTTCGGGTATATTCAAGAGATGAATCCTAAGAGACGACGCATTTTTAAAGGAACAGTAAATTTAAATTGGATCCATAAATATGTCATTCCGCAACCGATACTAAATTTCTCAGTTGGTCAGATATAGAAGCTATATCTAAATCTGAACCGATTCCAGGAAACTTAATACACATCATTTTAGGCCTAATTTATTACGCTGTGCCAAATTGCAAATCGAAGGATATATAGGGACTGTGGTGCACCATTTACATTAAATAGGGCGAAATTATATATAGGAGCTATAGCAAAATCTGAACCGATTTTCAGGAAACTTAACACACATCATTCTAGACCTAATTCATTACTCTGTGCCAAATTTCGTGCAAATCGAAGGATATATAGGGACTGTGGTGCACCATTTACATTAAATCGGACGAAAATATATATGGGAGCTATATCTAAATCTGAACCGATTTTCCCCAATTCCAATAGGGTTCGTCCTTGGGCCAAATAAGTGACCTATGCCAAATTTCATCCAAATCGGATTATAAATGCGACCTGTACTTTGTTCACAAAAATACATGGACGGACAGACGGACGGACATGCGTAAATCGACTCAGAAAGTGATTCTATGCACATTCTCAAAAGAAACCATGTGTCTTTCCGTTTCCTTTTGCCTGTTACAAACATATGCACAAAGACATAATACCCTGTACCTCAGTGTTGTAAAGGGTATAAAAATCGGTTCAGATTTATTTCGTCCATATATATTTTCGCCCGATTTATGGTAAATGGTGCACCAAAGTACCTATATATATTTCGATTTGCACGAAATTTGGTATAGCATTTTGATTTAAGTCTAAAACGATGTGTGTCTAATTTCCCGAATTTCGGTTCAGATTTAGATATAGCTCCCATATATATTTTATCCGATTCCGATAGTGAACCAAAGTCCGTACATATCTTTCAATGTGCACGAAATTTGTGCATAGCATACTGAATTGAGTCTAGAAGGATGTGTGTTAAGTTTCCTGAAAATAGGTTCAGATTTAGCTTAATTTGGTATAAAAGATTCGGGAGGGCTGACTTATATACAAATGTGTGCGGTGAATATATATAATATATAGGTCCAAATTCTGATATAAGCTTACATAAATGTTCCGCTTTTTTCAGTATTAATAAATTTTGAATTTTTTCATGGAAGTGGCTATAATTTGAGATATCGTATTCCTTGTTCCCATATAAACTTAACGACCTTTTTTACTTATTTTTATTTAAATTAAGGTGATTTAAATTCGACTTCAGTCGTTATTCAACTGAAATTTCCCCTTTTTATTATTGGCATGTGCCAACCTGTAGTTTAACTCCCAAAAGAACAGCTAAACTCAAACCAACTAAACTTTTAAAACCCAAACACGACATTTCAAGCAAAAACAACAAAAAATCACAAACCAAAATAATAACAAGAAGGCATCAAATAAATTGTAACAACATATGAATTTGCCAAAAATTCTCATCATAAATAAAAGCAACGCTAAACAGTCTGACACAGCCGACTAGGAGTCAGTCAGATTATTACTTTAAGAATTGTCATAGGTTTTTACCGAACTTTATTCAGTTTTACTTTACAAAAGCATAGGGTTAACATCGAAAGAGTCGCAATATTTCCTGTGATTAAATAAATAAAAGCTTAACAGAAAAGAAGTAAGAAAAATTAGTTATCAATAAATAACAGTAAACATTATTTTTAACAAAAAAATAATATTTGAATACAATAATTTGATTTAAATCAATTGTTACAGCTTTAATTCGCCACGAATCAGCGCTGCATTGGAACGGCTAATGGGCACAAATGTAGTTCGTTTAACCGACCGCAATTATATGAAGGAATTGCGGGAACGTATTGAAGAGGACTATCGTCAGAATTTACAAAAACGTATCAAGGCCAGAGAGGTAAGTGTTATTGTCGCAATTTATATTCGAAGTACTTGAAACTTCTTAAATATTATGTGAGCATTGTTGCATGAAATCTGCGGTTGTTGACATGTTTGGTGGCAATTTTAAACTCCGTTTTCTCAACTTCTTCAAGTGATTGCAATTTGGCTCATTTTTTGTGTTTTGAGTTTTTTCTCTTTGTGTTCCAACGGAAACCACCAAAAACTAATTTAGTGACAAATATTACGCCTTAGTTTTTACTCCGCCGTTTATATTCCATTGCAAGTTTCGTTTCCGCAAACAATTGATAGTTGATGACATGGTGTCATGGAAATTCAATATTTGATTTCAATTGGTAGTAACATGACCCTGGCGGTTCAATATGTATGCAGACTTTGTTATTTTTGTTGAGGCGGAAAGTCACCGTCTGATACATAACCTTTGCAGTGAATGTAGGAGGGTATTTGTTGTGCAGTTTGAAGAGTATAACAATACACATGAGTATAAGTTCAAGTTTACCGTATACGATTGAATAACGTTAACACATAGAAGTAGAATCAGGCTCAGTCGGTATATGTGGCTATGTAAAATGCTACACAAACAAATCCTTAGAAGTATAATACACAAAATTAGGACCGACTAAATAATAACCTTTACCGCTTTGGTTATATGCAAAATACCGGAAGTTCTGCTATTTTCGATTTGACTCCTACTCCAGAGTAAACCCCGCACATTAATTACACTGTGCGACAAATTTGATTTTTTTTGATAATTACCGGGAAATTCCAACAGATTATGGAAGAGGGGCTAAAAAAAGAAGACATGTGTATCGGCGTTTTGAAAGTTTACGTCGGGAGGTAACCTAAAAAGGAGGGACACTATTCCCCCTTTTCCAGAATTTTTATAATTTTCGAATTATGATTTCATGAAACCCTTGCATTTTAGGTATATAGTGTCTTCAGCAATATTACTGATAAAATATCGGGGAATATTTTGCTATACATCTTTAACCCTCAAGCGACTCATTAAAGGGGTCTTTTCGGTCCCCTTTTCCAGGAGTGATTGAAAACTCATTCAAAACGGGGTTAAAGCTGCTCAGAATATTCTACAGCAATGTTCGCCATAAAGTTTTACTATAAGTCTCAGAATAGACTAAAACTCAAAAATCAGCCTAAACTTCAAAAATCTTAAAAAACAAAAACTCATTTTAGGGTAATTATCGTACTTATTACTTGTTTTTACCCATTTTTCGCACAATATGTCGTTTTAGAAGGATCGCATAAGGGTTAATAATTATTAACCAGTAAGTAAGTGGTAAAGTCGGAGTGGCCGACTATAATATACCCTTCACCACTTTGGGTATATTCTACAAATGTATCCTAAAAGACGTCGCCTTTTCGAAAGAACATTGACATAATATTGAACGAACTTAAATGTGTGATATATTAGTGAACCGACTAACATCAATCCATACATATGCCATTCTGCAACCTATGTACTGTTTAAATTTTAATCTCAATCCGACACTAATTGATTATTAATTAACATGAATAAGTCAAAATTATATAGAAGCTATGCTATATCTATCTCTGAAACGATTTTAAGGAAACTTGCCAGCGATTAATTTAAATTAATCTGTACCGATTTCCACGAAACTTAGCATACAGCTTTCTAGACTTAATTCAGTACGCTGTGCCAAAATTCGTGAAAATTGAATGATTTTCAAGGACTTTGGTGCACCATTTAACTAAAATCGGGCGAAACTATATATGGGAGCTATATCTAAATCGGAACCGATTTTTTCCAATTTCAATAGGGTTCGTCCTTGGGCCAAATAAGTGACTTGTGCTAAATTTCACCCAAATCGGATTATAAATGCGACCTGTACTTTGTTTACAATTTAACATCAACAGACGGACGGACATGCATAAATCGACTCAGAAAGTGATTCTATGCATATTCTCAAAAGGAACCATGGGTCTATCTCGATTCCTTTTGCCTGTTACAAACATATGCACAAAGACATAATACCCTGTACCACAGAGTGGTGAAGGGTATAATAAATACCATATACATCCTTGGTCCCTTAAATGAGCAGCTCAGTTCACAAATCAATCAGCTACGCTTCGTGAAAAATTTTAAATGTAAGTGCATATTTATAATAACTTTACTGGATTATAAAGACGGGCGTAGTCGACTATATGAAATCCTTCAGCGTTTCGGGTACATACAAGAGACGCTCGTATGGACAATATCCTGTAGATATAACTGAATCGAATCGGACGAAATTAAATGTGTGAACTACATAGAATTTGTAAAATTTGTTTGAATTCGAGCAAAATTATGTATGGGATTTTGAACATTCACCATTTGGAATGCTGCAGCATAGTGCGCTGTCTAAAATTTATATCGATCGGAGAAACAATTATTGTTCGGTGAAACAATTATTGTTCGGAGAAAATACAGAGCGGTTATACCTACATCTGAATATATTTTACAAAATTCAATACACATTATTCTAAGTTAAATTTGATACGTTGTGCACAAATTCGCCCCCAATCGGACCAACTTCTTCCGATTTCATGAAAATGGTGTATCAAATACAAACCATTTTCATGTAATCGGATGAAAATATATATGGAAGCTATATCTAAACCTGAACCAATTTCAATCCAATATGCTATGCCATATTTTATGTTAGGGGAACAAACATAGGCTCCTCCGTGCATCATCAGTATAAAATCGGACGGAAACATAACCAATCTAAACTGATTTCAACAAACTTTTAGACTAACATACCTGCATACATTTTAGACTAACATACCTGCTGCAAATTTTCGTGCATATGGAACAAACGTAGGCTCTTCGGGATATACCTAAATCTGAACCGATTTTTACAAATCAATCGGAAAAAACAGTGAAAGTTTGGTGCACCTTATACATAAAATCGATCGGAAATATATATGGGAGGTATATCTAAATCTGAACCGATATCAACAACATTAACTTGTAGTAATTTCAGTGCGCTGTGCAAAATTTTGTGTCAGTCGGTGCAAAATTTTGTTTGGGAGTTTGGTGCATCATTTTCCAGAAATCGGACGATAGTAAATATGAGAGCGTCTGTGACGGACACGCATAAATCGACTCAGAATGTGTTCTATGCATATTTTCAAAAGGAACTATGTTTCTATCTCGTTCATTTTTGCTTGTTACAAATATATGAACAAGGACAGTGTTATTAAGGGCATAAAAATCAACATAAATTAGCTCTTTGAACCTCGTAATATTTATGCTGAACATAAATGCAGTTCGGTTTATGTGTTCTGTTACAAAATGGTCAAAATTTAGCTGAATAATCAATTGATCATGCTAACGGACTATCCGGTTTGAACCGAACTTTGTACTGCCTATTATAGTTACAAAGCCTACATACCACCCTTTGTACATCTGCCATTTGAAAGTATAATTAAGAATTCAGAAATATTGAGGGTCGTACCTAAATTCATGCGTATGCGTACGATTTTATTCACCTCAAAAGTTAAATACATGTATTTCAATTAATGTTACCCAAATACGCATTGCGTATAAAAATATAAAGTTGAAAAAATTCAACATTGACAATGCGTATTTTGAATTTTTTGTTTTTTGATAATAGAATTCCAGTCATTGAATTCATGTTTCTATACATGTAAACATTTTTCGGTTAATTAAGAAAATGTTTTCCTCCATTATTGCTGTTTTCAAGTGACACACAAGTAAATGAGGTCCTTGCGTATTTGGATAATACGGACGTTCAACAAACCCTATAAAGGTGAGCATGTGGGTATTTTAGTACGCAACGCACAGAATTTAGGTACGGGCCTTATACAGAATAAAAAAAAATATTAATAAAATTCCAATGGTGATAGACACATGACAAAACTTAATTTGATTGTTTGATTTCCGAAACGACGTTTTGGGTGCTGAAGGATTCAAATCGCCTCATAAAATTCATAGCAACCGATTAATATTAAAAGCCATTGTTAAACTGTCGAATGAACATTTGCCATAGATGATATGTCACAAACGCATTGACGTATTTTACAAAAGATTATGATAGGTATATATAGTTAATGAATATAAGCGATAGTAAAAAGTTTTTTTTTTCGGGACTTTTATATTTCGTCGATATATCCAATATGCCGTAGGAAACGTTGTAGTTATAAGCGTTTTTGAATATAGATATATGAATTTTCTATCTGGCACATTCAGCTTTGATCATTAAGTTCAAGAGTAAAAGTAAAATTTCTAAATTTTAAGTTGGTTATTTGCAAAAAATTAAATTCATTCTATTCTATCCATTGAATGATATTTTTGACTGTTCTCCATACATACCGACCATCTCCGATAATCACCAAATGTAGACCATTTTCCCACTCCGAAACATCATGAGGAAATTTAAACTTTTTTCCTACAAATAACAAAAAAAAAAAAAAAAAAATGAAAATGAAACATAATAACCAAACAAATTAAAGTGACACTTTTGTCACCCAAAAAGAAATCATGACACTATCGGATAATATCCAAACGACAACGACCATATTGACAATCACCTTAACTTGGCAACGAAAATATTTATGGAAATAAGGCCAAAATAGGTTTATTGGCATTTAAAATGACACTCTGATAGACAAAAACAAATTAGCCATAAATCGAAACCTTAGTTACCCTTCCAAGCAATCAACCACCCACCCACCTAACTTTGACATTGTCAAATATACCATGAATAAATCCCGATGAGTTTTTACGAGTTTTATAGTAAAATGTCATCCATCCTTTTCCACCTTTTTGTGTTTCTATAACAGCTTAAAGAAATTGAACGAGAACGTATTTTAATTATCGAAGGAAAAACCAAAGTTATTCCTGATGAGCTGGCAGATGACCCCATTTTTGTGGTGGACAAAAAAGCCGATTTGGAAATATCAAAGGCCAGAGCAAAGGTAAGTAAATATATAACAAAAAGGAAAAAAAATAAATTCTCAACTACCATCACCACAGACACAAAAAGGTCTTATTTGGAATTGGTGTTGGGATTCTTTTGTTTGATTAACAAATTATCTGATTGTTGTTATTTAGCTTAAAACGAATAGGGAAAAGAATTCTGAACGTTTAAAGCAACAAGGTGCCAAATGGCAACGTGAACGAATACAACATGAAGAGAATGAAGCTGTACGTTTGGAACAACTACATCATCGTACAAAGAGTCACGATGATTTAGAAAGGCAATATACTGAAGAGAATGCCACCAAAGGAATCGATTTGTTGAGGTAAGCACCAAAGTTATATGGAAAACCAGTAGGGAAAGTAGTAAAGTCGGACGGGGCCGACTATATGATACCCTTCACCACTATGAGTATATTAAACAGGACTATTATCATGAAATTGTATGAAATAAAATATGTGATATTTATCTACATGTGAAACGACCTAGATCTATCCATAAACATGTCATTCGTTTGTTACAATGGAGCAAAAGTATGTAAATCGACTTCAAACAAATATCTAAAGGTCATACGTTGGACTAGGTCTGTACTTCTAGAAAACCCAACTACGTTATTCTATACTCAATTTTGTACGTTGTGCAAAATTTGATGTCAATTTAACAAATATGAGGAGTTTGATGCAAAATTTACTCATATATGGATGCAATATCCAACGAAACTTGTCACAAGTTAAGCTATACTGATTTAGCTACGTTCTCGACCGATTTTCACTAAACTTGGCACACATTATTCTGAATTAAATTCAAAACGCTATGCAACGTAAGAACTTGGTACATTATTTAGATTAAATCGGACGAAAATATATATATCAAAATCTGAATCGATTTTCACGAAACTCAGCACACATCATTCCAGCATCAATTCAGTATGTTATGCCAAATTTCGTGCAAATCGAAAGATATATGGGACTTTGGTGCACCATTTACATGAAATCGGACGAAACTGAATATGGGGGCTATATCTAAATCTGGACCGATTGTCACGAAATTTGGCAGACATTACTCTAGGCCCAATTCAGTACGTTATGTCAAATTTCGTGCAAATCTAAAGATATATAGGGACTTTGGTGCACAATTTACATGAAATCGGACGAAACTATATATGGGAGCTATATCTAAATCTGGACCGATTTTTCCCAATTTCAATAGGGTTCGTCCTTGGGCCAAACAAATGATCTGTGCCAAATTTCATCCAATTCGGATCATAAATGCGACCTGTACTTTGCTAACAAAGATACATGGACAGACGGACATGCTTAAATCGACTTAAAAAGTGATTCTATGCATATTCTCAAATGAGAACGCAAAATACGCTTAAAATACCTAATATTAGGACAGGGTATAGGAGGGTATTTTCTACCCAAAGAAACCACAATGTATATCAAATTACAGCCAATTAGGTTAGATAACACAAAATATCAATTTGTTCTTATGTTCAATATTGAAACTTCTATAACTTATGCTAAGTGTTAACGAATTAAAAAAAAAATGTTATTCGCTGGAGAATTCTATTTTTGGAACTTTTAGATAAAAAGATGACCACACTGATTTACTATCAGGATTGTATTATATGAAAGGACTGGATAATGATAATGCATCATTTAGGATTTTGCAGAAAAAAGGAAGGAGTAAAAAATTATGTTAGATAATATGGAACGTAACTTTGGCTTTTGGCTTTTGATCTACATTTCGACACTAGTTAAATTATCCTGGAATTCCAGACTCACGTTAAGAGTTGGGTGATATTTATCCTCCGTTTCAGAAAAAGGGGACTTCTACATATAGATATATTTGTCATTGATTAAAATACTAAATTTAATATTCTATATTTAAGGTTGGAAATATTATTTATTTGAAATAAACATTGATCAAATATTGTTCCCAAAACAAAGTCATATGAATAGATGTTGATAGTGTTGATGAATTAGGTACAAAAATGAATTTTATGTCACCTGAAACTCATTTTAAATTTGACAAATTGAAGTCACTAAAATAAATAATTTCAAAGTTAGATGACATGAAAGTTGAAGCTAGCTTTATTAATTGGGCATGTCTAAGGTAAACGTCTGTTTCATTTGTTTAAACTTATCACGTCGCAAACAAACATATTTGAAATCCTTCTTCATGGAAGCTACCTATGTTGTAGTATCCTAAAAAATCGATTTGTAGTAACCTACAACCGATGCACGCGCAACGAAGTCAATTTGGACGACCAGTTATTACATTAAAGCCAACTTTTCACAAATCCAGCATGTTATTAAGTGTTCAGTATCGCTGGTAATGGAACCGTCCTTATACAAACAAATCATTGAAATGAGAATAACTCCTAAAGTTATACTACAATAGTTCAATTGAAAATATTGAGTTTTAAAATTGTTATCAAAAACTAACTTAATTTAGTTATCGCCTGAAAATATGCTTTAATTTTTACAATTGACAATCGAATAAAAGACCACAACAGTATGACAGCAAAACGTCAACAACTTTAAAATAATGACTGTAATGACTGAAGCAATAAATATGAAAAACAAAAACAGTAAGGAATGTAGTAAAGTCGGACGGGGCCGACTACATGATACCCTTCACCACTTTGGGTATATTCAACAGATGGAATCCTAACAGACATCGCATTTTTAAAGGACAATTAAGATGAAATTAAACTTGTCATTCTGCAACCTACATATACGAAATGTTGGCCAGATATAGAGTTGGTTCTTACAATGGGACAAAATTACGTAAATAAATTTAAAGCAAAATATTGAAGTCTATATACGGGTGCTATATCTAAATCTGAACCGATTTTCACGAAATTTAACACACATTCATTCTAAACTTAATTCAGTACGCTGTGCCAAATTTCGTGCAAATCTAAGGATATATAGGGACTTTGGTGCACCATTTACATAAACTCGGACGAAAATATATATGGGAGCTATATCTAAATCTGAACCGATTTTTACGATATTTAACACACATCTTTCTACACTTAATTCAGTTCATTGAGCCAATTTTCGTGCAAATCGAAGGATATATAAGGACTTTGGTGCACTATTTACATAAAATCAGACGAAAATATATATGGGAGCTATATCTAAATCTGAACGGATTTTCACGAAATTTAACACACATCGTTCTATACTTAATCCAGAACTCTGTGCCAAATTTCGTGCAAATCTAAGGATATATAGGGACTATTTACCTAAAATCGGACGAATATATATGGGAGCTATATCTAAATCTGAACGGATTTTTCCCAATTTCAATAGAGTTCGCCCTTGTGCCAAACAAATGAGTTACGCCAAATTTCATCCAATTCGGAACATTAATGCGACCTGTACTTCATTTACAATTTAACATGGACAGACAGACGGGCGGGCCTGCATAAATCGACTCAGAAAGTGATTCTATGCATATTATCAAAAGGAACCATGAGTCTATCTCGAATATTTTTGCCTGTTACAAACATATGCACAAAGACATAATACCCTGTGTGGTGAAGGGTATAAAAACTATAGATAACATCATCACTTAAATGCACAAACTAACACACATTTTTATTGCCGAATTACAACTTAATTACTTAATACACAAGAAATGGGTTAAAAATCTATTAATACCAAATATGAGAGAATTTTCCGTACAAAATTGTTTTACCCTCCAATATCCCGAAATGCCGTATTGCAGTCACTACAATGGGAAAATCAAGCTTAAACCTTCAAAATACAATGTGAAGCTGCCTTTATATGGATGCTATGTATAATATCCAGTGAGAAACATATTGACATTAGCTCTAATTTGATATTTTGAGTTATCATATAAAGGTCCAGCCCTTTATTGATGTTTCTAGGCGAATATCTCAACCAAAGAGATTGTATTTTAGCATTACATAGTCCACCTAGCCCACTCCACGCTTCATTGTACATATGTTTAAGGTCCTAGTCCAATTTTCTGGCAGCTATTTACCATGTCACATATAAATTTCCGATCGATTTTAGGTGTTTTGGATCCTAAAGACTTTCAATCGTTTAAAAGACATCCTTTCTTATATTTATAAATACTTACTTTACAACCTTAACATACTTTGGATTCTTATTTGTTACGAAATCTGCTTACTAAAGTTATTGGTCCAATATTTGTGGTATCCCCCATGTAACGGTACCCCAAAAATTTGCGGATCTTGAGGATTTTTTACAAGTTTTTGGATCGAATTACCTGTAATTTGGTATGTTTGGTTTTATTTTAGATTCCTATTCCTCAACAAATCTCCCCACCAAATATATTAATATCCGGCACCCTTTTGGGGGTAGGTAGTACCCATATAACACCTTGTTATACCCTCCACCATAAGGTGGAGTGTATATTATATTTGTCACTCCGTTTGCAGAGCCTCGAAATTTTCTCCGTGTATGTCCTTCTTTCTGTCTGTCCATCTGTTGAAATCAATATTTAAGATGAAGCTTTGAAATTTTGCACATACATTGTTAGTACTCCTAGGATGTTTGGTATTGCATATATGTCCACGTTTTGGAGTATGAGGGTACATTTCCCTTCTAAACATTATTAATATTGACCTTAGTTTCAAGTTAGTCCCCATATAACGGTACCCCCCAATATTCGGTATTTTGGACAATTTTTAACAGAATTGGCTGTAATTTAGTGTTTTGGGTTCTCATTGTATAGCACACGTAAATAACGAAAATTATAAACATTGATCCAAGTTTCAGGGTAACTCCCCAATATTCGGTTCACAATCAAATTGGCTGTAATTTAGAATTTTAGGTTTTCATTGTAAAGCAGATATTTGTACTGAAAATTAATAATATTGAACCAAGTTTGAGGATAGCCTCCATATAACTGGACCCCTCATCACTTTACTAAAAATGATTAGAATTGACCTAAGTCGGTATTTTTGAAATTTTGTACACCATTTTTAACCGAATTGGCTGTCATATTTCACTACCAAAAATTATCAATATTGATCCCGTTTTGGTATATCCCCATAAAACGCTTGCCCCTTTGTTAAGTAATAATCTTTAATAACATATTTTCGGTTCTACCTTAACATGAGTTATCTCCTATGAGTCCCCATTGATTTTATATATTTTGAATGTCAACCTCATGGTGGAGGGTATAAAAAGTTCGACCGGACCGAACTTAACAGCGTTTTAACTTGTTCATATTAAAATAGTTAACTAATTGGTTTCGCGTATTGAGGTTGGGGGATATTCTATTTTTTTTAATTTTCAGTTTATACCCTACTAGCATATACCCGCTACTTCGTTAGCGAACGTGGGAAATATTTAAACATATATTAACATATTATTTAATTTTCGCAGACAAACTGCATATGCCAGAAAAACTAAACAATCAACACATTTATATCGACCATAAATTAAATTTAAGTAATATTTAGTACAAATTTTCATGACTGGTGCTCTAAATGTTCACCCAAATCCAAATTTTATTCCATAAGTACCCACCTCAACCATCAAACAAAACTTCCTGCATACCCCGATCCTATAATGCCACAATGATTCCAAATTCAAATTTATGGATTATGGATCCCAACCACAATTTCATTTGTATCAAATTTAGTACATAGTAGTACGAATTTCCAAAACTTCCTACTTTAATCCAAACCTACACCCCCACAGTTATCATAAATCCAAATTTCATAATTCCAACTCTATCGGTTCACTCACAATTCTAATTATCCCATATTTATTTCACAATAGTACCAATTTCCAAATCTTCATTCACACCCCAAACCTACACCCCCACAGTGATTTTAAATCCAAGTTCCAGGGTTCCAACTCTATCGGTTCACCCATAATTTAAATTGTACCAAATTTAGTACAGTCGTACGAATTTCCAAAACTTTCAACTTAACCCAAACCTTAACACACAGGGATGCTAAGTCCAAGTTCCACGGTTTCAACTCTATCGGTTCAACCATAATTCAAATTGTACCAAATTTAGTACACAGTAGTACAAATTTCCAAAACGTCATACCTAGCTAAAACCTTCATCCCACAGTAATGCTAAACCTAAGTTTCAGGATTCCAACTCTATCGGTTCACCCACAATTCAAATTTTACCAAATTTAGTACACAGTAGTACGAATTTCCAAAACGTCCTACACACCCCAATCCTACACCCCCGCAGTCATCCTAAAATCCATTATTCAGGATTCCAATTTTAGTACATAGTAGTACGAATTTCCAAAATTTCCTACTTAACCCAAACCAGCATCCCCATAGTGATTCCAACTCTATCGTTTCACCCACAATTTAAATTGTACCAAATTTAGTACACTTAGTACAAATTTCTAAAACTTCCTACATACCCCAACCCTACACCCCCACAGTGATCCCAAATCCAAGTTTCAGGATTCCAACTCTATCGGTCCACTCACAATTCAAATTGTACCAAATTTAGTACACATTTCTAAAACTTCCTACATATCTCAATCTTACACCGCAACAGTGATCCTGACTCCAAATTTCATGATTCACCTAAAATTCAAATAGTACCAAATTTAGTACCATTTAGTACCCATAAGTATTTTTTTCTTAAACTGAATCTTGACCCCAATCCCACACTCCTACAGTGATCCTGACTCCAAATTTCATTGTTTTCGCTTTATAGGATAAACCAAATCCAAACTTTACCGATTATAGTACGATTTAGTACTTTTCGTACACATAAGTAACAAATTTCCAAAATTACCTTCATATCCCAATCCTACACTCCGACGGTAATTTTAATTTCAAATTCCAGGATTCCAGCTCGATTTGTATCTCCAAATTAAATTTGTACCAAATATAGTACCATATAGTACCCATATAAACCATCTCCTTAAATGGACCCTACTTTTCAACCTTAATTCACACTCCAAATTTCAAGTTTTTAACGCTATCCGTTCACATTGTACAGAATTGTACCAACTTTAGTACATTTTCGTACTTTTCCATCAACGACCACCAAACCAAATTTCAGAGTTCTAGCTCCACCGGTTCACCAAATACAAATGGCATCACATTTAGTACTTTTCAGTACTTTTCGTACCGTTCTAGTACGAATTTCCAAAAACCCAGCCTTATCTGTCATATTTGGACTAAGAGTGACCCTCACCCAAAATTTCAAGATTCTAGCTTCAGCGTTTCGTCTGGGCTTTGATGAATCGTTAAATCAGTCAGTCAGTCAATCACTTTACTCTTTTATTAGTATAGATATAGTATGGAATACTCTGACGATTTAGCCAATTCCGCCCGCCGCTACATCTATTGTTATCATACTACCTTCCGAGGGCACCATGATACAAAACTAAAAGGCCAGACTCCAGAATGAGCTATATGTGTCCACATTATTTCCATTTCTTTTTAAAGCGGAATGTATTAGTTTTGCGTGTGGTAAGGTATGGTGAAATGACATTCACATTATCCTAGATGCGCAAATGTTGCAAAAAAAAATTGTTGAGGTCTGCTGTTTAGAAGAAGTAGTTTAAGAATATATCCAAATTATAGTTATGTATACTTAATTAATATAAAAGACGTAAATACCACCCCTTGATATAAATTATAATACATACGAAATTCTCAACAGTAACTGTATCTCATTTAATTTAATTAATTTCTCCTTCCTTGCGGTTGCAAATGGAAAACGTTTTTCGTTACAAGACATGCAAAAAGGATTACAACTTTTCTTATTGTCTCATTCTCATTTTGTGTGGAAATTCTCAACCACTGTCACTTGTGCCATTGTTTGCAGACACTTTGTTTTAATCTTTTCGTGTCTTTTTGTTGGATGGTCTTTTGTTAATAGGATTCATGATGAGGAATGGCGTCCATGTGAACAGCGTTTAAAAGAGTTCCTGGAACAGGAAAGAGCAAAAATGAAAGAACGTTCCGAACGAACACCCACACCATTTACTTCAGACCCTAAGGATATGCAACAGATTTTGAGAGCAAGGTATGTATGAACAGGATATCCTATTAATTGTCAATTATATAATTTATAATCGATTTGGTTAGGATTCAATGTCACTTTAATATATTTTCGATTTTATTTCAATTTTCTCTTTTCCCCCCAATATGTGTGTCTGTTTTTGGCAGAAAACGTTTCCAGGAAACTGAATTACGTATACGTAAGCATATTGATGAACAGTTGTTACGACAACAACAAGAAGAACAGAAACAGCAGAGTAAACATGATGAACAGCCAAATACGTACGCTGAGGTCGATGAACAGTCTCCTAAACAGGTAATTTGCTTTGTCATATTCTTATGTTTTACATTTGGGATGAGAAGTCAGGGAACACTTTACTTAGATGGATAGATTCCTTATCTACTTGATCGGTCGGACGGGCAAGGAATTCTTTATAGAAGAGCTGTATGTTAGTCATTATCAACAAGTTGAAGGACAGGGTGACTTTGTTGGCGATATGAAGTCTAAGAAATTCAACTGATGGCTAAGAAGAGCTGAAGGCTGGGGAAGCTTTATAGACTATCTGAAGACCGGGGAGTCTGTATATACAATCTGGAGGTCAGGGTCACGTTATAGACGAACTAAACCACATGGTGTCTGTCCGAGATGCTGACGGTCGAGAAGTATAACTGAAGGGCAAGGGAGGCTGTATATATGAGCTGAAGGGTAATGGAGTTTTCATATTTGAAGACCGGGAGGTTTTTATAGACGAGTTGAAGGTCAGGATGTCTCTGTAGGGGGTTGAAGGCCAGTAAGTATTTTATATTTTCGCTATTTTGCAACCAAAATGAATATAAATTTTCAGTTTCAACTATGTATGGTTTAAAATACAAAGGATTAGCCAAAAGTTATTAAAATGGTCAAAAACTCATTAAAGTATCAAATTGCAGTAAACAAATCGTCTGTCCGTCCGTGTATGTGTGAACACGTGCGCTTTTGTTTACAAATAGTGTGTGTGTGTGTGTGTGTGTGTGATCCTCCGTTCTGAGTATGGCAATTTATGTATGTGCGTTTGTGTGTGTGATCCTCCGTTCTGAGTATGGCAAAGTATGTGTTTGTGTGTGTGTGTGTCTCCGTTCGCAAACTGTGTTGATCGACGTGTGTGGGCGCGCTCTTGACCTTGAGTATGGCAATGTGTGTGCGTGTGTGTGTGTGTCCGTTCGGTTTAAGAATATTAGGGATGGCAAACTATGTGGGCATGCGCGGAGCTTACCGAAATGTTTACAAGGGGAAGGGGGAACAGATATGTGGAACAAAATATAGGGAATAACAACAGCATGGTTAGCGATAGAAATGGTCAGGGGCATGAAGAGACAGACGCAGTTATGTTTATTTGTTGAGTGTTGGGCATGCGTGGAAAGGGTGGCAAATATGTGGCAAGGGGAAAGGGGGGACAAATATGGGAACCAAACTATAAACAGCATAATGAATTTCGCAATCTTATGCAACTATGATTAGGAGTGAAAAGGGAAGAGGCAGGAACAAATATGTGTTTACGAAATGTTTGGATCCAAGAGGAAACGGGGGGAGAGGAATATGTACGCCCTAGCTTTGAGTTTGATGTTTATTTCTGATTATATTAATACCAATGTGTTTATGTTAAATCGAGCATCGTTGAGTGTTGGGCATGCGTGGAAAGGGAGGCAAATATGTGGCAAGGGGAAAGGGGGAACAGATATGTGGAACAAAATATAGGGAATAAAAACAACAACAGCATGGTTAGCGATATAAATGGTCAGCGGCATGAAGAGACAGACGCAGTTATGTTTATTTCTGATCATATCAATACCAATGTGTTTATGTTAAATCGAGCATTGTTGAGTGTTGGAATGCGCGGAGCTTACCGAAATGTTTACAAGGGAAGGGGGACAAATATGGGAAACAAACTATAGGGACTATTGAGAATATCAACAAACAACAACATACATGCATCAATTGTATCGGTAAAAATGGTCAGCGGTATTAGGAGACAGGCGCATGGATTTGTATGATTTTAAAGACTGATGGGCGCCAAAAATAAAGAGGCGAACACTTGTTGATAAGAACCATTGGACAGAAATATGATAAACAGCATAATGAATTTCGCAATCTTATGCAACTATGATTAGGAGTATAAAGGGGAAAGACAGGAACAAATATGTGTTTACGAAATGTTTGGATACAAGAGGAAAAGGCGGAGGGGGGCATTTTTTTTTGCATTCTGGGATACTTTTAATAAACGAACGTAATAATACATGATATTGTCAATACGAGGTATAATTATAATATAAAAGGAATCTATATTCCACTTTCAGTTGAGAGTTCATATCGTAAACTATTCATATCACAACCAGTTGAGTAAAAGTGATTTTTTACAGTGTATAAGTGATTTTCAATACTTTCTGCAAAACCAAAAAGAGACTCAGAGTGAAAAGTGAACGAAAGTTATAAAGTTATAAAAATAGACTAAAAGTGAGAAAAACATTGAAACGTATTTACAATGGAAAGCTTCCAATGCAATTTCTGCTCAAAAGCGTTGAGTTCTAAAGCTGCACTTAAAAAGCATTTGATGTTACATAAAGTTTGTGAAATATGTAAGAAAATGTTGGCAAACAAGTGGGCTTTAAAATTACATTATGAAGTGTATCACCCAAATTTTTATCAACTGCAAAATGAAGCTGTGAATCAACTACCTTCAGGAACATGGCAGAGACACCAACAGATACAACAATCAAACCAACAACAAAATAAAATTGAAGGCATGAAACAAGGAACGACTTCTGGTGTGGTATATTTTTTTAATTATTATGTTCTCGTTACAAGGTTTAACATATTCTCCACCCAACTCTAAATTAAATTTGATTCTGTAATGACGATTTAGTGCTTCTTGAAGTTGATTAATAAATGCTTTTGCCCCCTGAAATATTAAATCAACTTCTATTGTATCTTCTGTTATTTTATATTGAAAGGTTTGGATTCTATTATTGAATCCACTCCTTACTAGCATCATATCGCTATTTACACCAGAAGTCGTTCCTTGTTTCATGCCTTCAATTTTATTTTGTTGTTGGTTTGATTGTTGTATCTGTTGGTGTCTCTGCCATGTTCCTGAAGGTAGTTGATTCACAGCTTCATTTTGCAGTTGATAAAAATTTGGGTGATACACTTCATAATGTAATTTTAAAGCCCACTTGTTTGCCAACATTTTCTTACATATTTCACAAACTTTATGTAACATCAAATGCTTTTTAAGTGCAGCTTTAGAACTCAACGCTTTTGAGCAGAAATTGCATTGGAAGCTTTCCATTGTAAATACGTTTCAATGTTTTTCTCACTTTTAGTCTATTTTTATAACTTTATAACTTTCGTTCACTTTTCACTCTGAGTCTCTTTTTGGTTTTGCAGAAAGTATTGAAAATCACTTATACACTGTAAAAAATCACTTTTACTCAACTGGTTGTGATATGAATAGTTTACGATATGAACTCTCAACTGAAAGTGGAATATAGATTCCTTTTATATTATAATTATACCTCGTATTGACAATATCATGTATTATTACGTTCGTTTGTTAAAAGTATCCCAGAATGCAAAAAAAATGCCCCCCTCCGCCTTTTCCTCTTGTATCCAAACATTTCGTAAACACATATTTGTTCCTGTCTTTCCCCTTTATACTCCTAATCATAGTTGCATAAGATTGCGAAATTCATTATGCTGTTTATCATATTTCTGTCCAATGGTTCTTATCAACAAGTGTTCGCCTCTTTATTTTTGGCGCCCATCAGTCTTTAAAATCATACAAATCCATGCGCCTGTCTCCTAATACCGCTGACCATTTTTACCGATACAATTGATGCATGTATGTTGTTGTTTGTTGATATTCTCAATAGTCCCTATAGTTTGTTTCCCATATTTGTCCCCCTTCCCTTGTAAACATTTCGGTAAGCTCCGCGCATTCCAACACTCAACAATGCTCGATTTAACATAAACACATTGGTATTGATATGATCAGAAATAAACATAACTGCGTCTGTCTCTTCATGCCGCTGACCATTTATATCGCTAACCATGCTGTTGTTGTTGTTATTCCCTATATTTTGTTCCACATATCTGTTCCCCCTTTCCCCTTGCCACATATTTGCCTCCCTTTCCACGCATGCCCAACACTCAACGATGCTCGATTTAACATAAACACATTGGTATTAATATAATCAGAAATAAACATCAAACTCAAAGCTAGGGCGTACATATTCCTCTCCCCCCGTTTCCTCTTGGATCCAAACATTTCGTAAACACATATTTGTTCCTGCCTCTTCCCTTTTCACTCCTAATCATAGTTGCATAAGATTGCGAAATTCATTATGCTGTTTATAGTTTGGTTCCCATATTTGTCCCCCCTTTCCCCTTGCCACATATTTGCCACCCTTTCCACGCATGCCCAACACTCAACAAATAAACATAACTGCGTCTGTCTCTTCATGCCCCTGACCATTTCTATCGCTGACCATGTTGTTGTTGTTATTCCCTATATTTTGTTCCACATATCTGTTCCCCTTCCCCTTGTAAACATTTCGGTAAGCTCCGCGCATGCCCACATAGTTTGCCA